ATATATATATATATATATATATATATATATACACGTACACAAAAGGACCAACATGTACATTTAGAAATAGCAAACAACACATACATACAAATCCACATATACGGTAAAGTATATTTTAAGGGAAGTTTACACATATGTAAAATACATCAATTAATTACGCAAGTCAAACTATTTCAGAATTTATTAAAACTTTTAAATAGGATTTTTATTATTTAAAAATATCTTGGCTCACTGGGCCGGACCTCCAAATCGCCTAACTCATTCAACGGATCATCTGTTAGTTTATGTGGATTTGAGGTGTATATATATTCAAGCTTCTAACATTCACTGTCGTGGCAAGCTTCGAACATTCTATTCCGCTTGCCTCTCAGCTATGTGGTTCACCGATCGATCAGCTCCGTTTTGTGGAGGCATGATGTTGGCAAGGGGATGCTGGGATGCGTCGGTGTGGTGGATGAGACCGGGGGATTCTGGGGAGGGGTGGCGAGGATGACTATCCTGTATGGGGCAGGCTCAGCTGGTTTTAGGATCATGATTCAGATTAATGTTGTGTAGAACTGAGTTTAACTTGCATCAAATTATCAGAGTCATATGTGGTAGTTCCCTGACGCTGCTTTCTAGGGCTGCAAGAAATTTGAGACATATTTTTGCAGAAATGGTTCATACAAAATGTGCAATTAATGCAATAACACAATGATGAAATGAAGTTTACCTGGCAGTCAATGATTCTTAAGAGCGGATCCAGTGCGGGTAGCTGCTCCAGGAGGTGGTCCTTCCCAAGCCTGCTCGTGCCGCTCTGCCCCCTTGGTATGAGGCGTCACTCCCTCAGCTCTTCGTACTGGCTGCGAATCTCTAAGCCGCTCCCCTTGGTATGAGACGTAGTACTGCAGCAGCGCGTAGCACTCGAGCCACTCCTCAAGAAAGGGTGCATAAGTATGCACTCACGCGGTGGTCGGAGTCGTTTTTGAAGTTGGACATCTAGAGACTACAACGCATGGCAAGCCAAAGGTGCAAGGCATACGCTGCTGCTGCTGCTTTGGAGGAGCCGCAAGTAGCACGCACTGCTTAAGATTTGGTCCCCTTAATGGCAGCAAGTATAGTATATAAGGTAGAGCGAACTACACCATCCATCCATCGGTGCATTTTCTTGATTGTTAAAGGCATCAACGTCGTGCATATGCACCACCCAGTTATTGCTGTTGGAGAGGAGTCTGGCGAGCGCGTGCACGTTGTGTGAGACTCTTCAGTGTGCGATCGTGCGCCGACAATGTCCTCAAGGACGCCTACGACATCCGTGGCAGCGCCGCATGTAACTGCTCCGAACGTACGGGCGGGTGTGCCGAAGACAATCGAGAGGAGATAGGGCATCTGATCTCAGTGGCGAGGTGTCGGACCTTGGGCAGCCGCTCGACGTGGTTGGTGGCCATGACCACAGCAAACATCGTAGATCCTTCAGATAGTATTGACCGCTATTGACGGTGGAGTCCTTGATGCTGCCACCACGTCCGTTTCGTTCTTGAGGGAGAGTTTTCGGCATAGTCGGCGGCTGCGATGTGGAGTGATTGTCGGTTCTCTTTTTTATGGAAGGAGACACCTCGAGTCATGCGAATAATAATTATTCTCTTAGTTTGTGTGAAGGAAATCACAACTTACAAGGAATTTTTCATAATGAAGGATATTAGTGTGATTTATGGGATGCAATTTCCGTCTAACGGCCAATTACTATGAATCTACCATATGTTGATGCGCACGTTCAATCAGAAAGCACTGAATTAGAAAGCAACGAGAGTTGGCATCTGTAACGGACGTGTTTAGCGAAACGAGTAACCGCAACAAGTTATTCAGGATCCAAACCAACAAACCATGTGTGGGCCATATTGAAATATTGGACGGGTACAGTGCTCGGGCTGCCCGGTTTTTAACTAAGAACAATCTCATACTTAAAGTAATAACAAGTGCTAATGTGGCCTGTTGGTTACTACAGTTCATATATCACATTTTGTAATTAGTGAGACAATGAACATACACTTTCAGTGCACCGAAAAAATTTCATGAGAATAAAGGTGAGGCATTAATTTGAGATATGACCTGAACATCGCCAAAAGCCTCTTTTGGAATACAGACAATATCATCTAGCTCCAACGTTGGACCACAAGAAAGTTGACATTTGACAATGGAGTGGAAACAAAAACAGAATTTTTTTATGGAGGGCAATGAAAATAAAAATGGCAAAAACTACAGACATCCATGGCCTGGACCACAAGAACTCCACTCTTCTATCCCTGTATTTCTTTCTCTCTGCTTTGTAAACGATATATTTCTTTCTTTGTTGAATACATAGGCCTTACACCTCATAATAAGGATCAAAGCATAAGCAATCATTTGGTTCGAATTTGTGTGTTACTCACTTGCTCTCGCCCTTAGCTAGGGTGCATCCGGTACTCCCTAGTCTGAAACACCCTTGAACTTATTTTCTTGAAGTGTTTTTCTTCAGATAAAATGCCCTTGTCATATTAATTTTCCACAAAGTGATAAGTGGAGAAAGACTTCCACTCCTTGAGTTTAGGCCTTCACATTTTCACGTTGCCATACAAAAGTAGGTAGGAATCTGACGACTGAGACATGAACGCTCTCTCTGTTCCCGGTCAAAGGAAGCAGGAGCAGGAGCAAAGCAGGAGCCTCTCCTTTTTGTAATTCAAAACCGTAAGAGCATCTCCAATCGTTGGCCCCTCAGGAGGCGCTAAAAATCACCCCCTGGGGCGCACCGGCGATAAACCACACGCTGGGGGCGTGATGCCCCCAGTCACGGCGTCCACGTTTTTTTGAAAATCCAAATTACGGCACGAACACGGCGCAAATTCAACCAAATTTTGGCGAGTTCGTTCATATTTAAAATATTTTACAAAAAGGAAAAAAAAAGCTACTAGGTTGCTCCTCGCCGTCTCCCTCGCCGCTCCTCACCGCCCGCCGCCCTTGCAGATCTACATGCCGAGGAGGCTGTAGAACCGTGTGTAGTCGCCGCCGTCGTCATCGTCGTCGTCGCCGCTTCCGCTACGGCCGCCGTCCCTGCTGCAACCCTCCCCCGATTGGCGTGGCGGGTTGGACGGTCCGGGGGCGTCCTCGTCGTCGTCACTGTCGAGGATCACGACGCCGTGCTCGTCCTCGCGCCCACGTTTGCAGGCGGCTACCTCCTCCAGGGCCCGGCGCTGCCGGACCATCTCGTCGTGGAGGTAGTCGTCCCGCGCCCACTGCATGGCGTCCTCGTCGGAGATGCCGCACCGGGCTATCTCCTCGTACTCCGCGGGAAGGCCGGGCTCCGGTTTGGGTGCGACGAGGACGAGGCGGCTAGAGGCGGGGGTGGAGTCGCCGATGCGGACGCCGGAGCTGCGGGTGCGCCGGCTGACAGACGTGTCCTGGGGCTCCGGCTTGACGGGGCAGAGGCAGGGAGAGCCGGTCGACCGACCTGGCGAGGAGGAGGATGCCCCGGGGTCCATGCGCCTCGGGTCCACGAGCTCTCACGGCGGCGAGAGAAGGACGGGGGGAGGGGTACTCCAGCCTCGGCGTGTTGCCGCCCTCGATGTACTCGAGGACGGCGTGCGGCGTGCGGCCGGGCACGCCCCACCATCGGCGCCGCCCCTCGGAGTTGAGCCTGCCGGAGGGAATGGCGCTGTTGGTGGCCTCAAGCTGCTCGGTGTGGCGGCGGCGGAAGTATGGCTCCCAGAGCGGGCCGTCGGGGACGTAGCGTGGCCCCTCCCTCGCCGCCGCGGCAGGGAGGCGCGGATTCGCGCGATCTCCGCACGCCGCGCCGTCCCGGTCGGCGGCGGTGGCACCGGGACCCCGCCGGCGTTGATTCTCCACGCCCCGGGTACCCGCATGTCCGGCGGGACCAAATACTCGGCCTCAAAAAGTAGCCGAGTTTCGTCCTCGTGAAGGTGGCGGCGGCCGAAGCCGTTCGCCGCCGCGCCGTCGCCTGGGAAGCGTTCGGCCATTCTTTGAGCTGGAGACGGCGAGAGGAGAGGGAGGAAGGGGGAGAAAGGTGGCGTCGGTGGTGGAGACTCTGTGCGTGCCACCGGTGCGCTGGGGGTCGGCTTTATGTAGGCGGAGGCGCCGCGCGTACGCGTGGCTGCCGCGTTACACGTGGCATGCGAGGGGACGCGCGTTGTCTCGTTTTCACTGCGCCGCCCGTGAGGCATCAATGGCGGAGGCTGACCGGCGCGGCAGCGCGCGGCAACTTTGACATTGATTCGCCATGGGAAACGAGGCGATGAGGACGACGAAGCGGCGAGAAGCGAGACGAGTCGCTGGCAAGGAGGACCCGTGGCTCTTTCGCGCAAAAAACGATTCGCCCGGCATCCCCGAGCGCCCCCCAGTACGCCGGGGTCGGGTTGGGTCCGCCAGCGCCAATTTCGGCCCGAGCCGGTGAAAATTGAGCCCCTGGGGGCGCGACTGGGCCGATTTTTTGGCGTCAGCGACCGAAAAGTCATCTGGTGGGCCTTGTTGGGGACGCGGCTGGAGATGCTCTAACATTTGTGTCCAACATTAGACATTTGTTGAGAAAAGAACAAAAGCAAAAAACAGTAACACCACCCGTGGTTTTCCTCACCTCTCATGGAAGAGACCATGGGCCGCGGCACAAGCAGACACGCACATTGACATCGCCAGATCAAATGGCGTAGCTGCAGAAATTATGGAGTAGAAGCAGCGCATGCACACAAAGCACGGGGAGAGCGCCTTTGACCTCTGGAGTCTGGACCGCGAGACTTCCACTCCTTCCCTTGACCCCTCTACCCCTATAAATAGACGCCCTTCCTCCAGCCCTTCTCACCACTCCTCTGAATACGGATTGTTTTTAGACGAGGAGCAAAGCAGTAACATCAGTTGTGTCCTGAGACGAGGAAGCTAATAGAGGTTTTGGCTGTGCGGTTTGTGCTGATTTGTTTTTTAATCAATATTTTTCTTGATGGCGTTTGCTTTTCCAGGTGGGAAGAAGTTCGGAGAACATGGCCACGATGGGTGGGGACCGAAGGCAGATGATGGAGGATGCGGCGGAGGACAAGTTTTCCGAAGGGTTACGTGTCCTCGTTGTGGACGACGACTGCGTCTGCCTCATGGTACTTGAAGCCCTGTTGCGCCGCTGTAAATACCAACGTGAGTCTCTTGATCCCTCCACTTCGCCATAGTCCATTAGAATCGGGGCCTTGTGATCTATTTGTTTCTCTGCGAATAATGCTTGCCGCTATGCAGCAACGACGGTGATGGATGGAAAGACGGCGCTCAGGATGCTCATGGCGGGGAAGCAGCAGTTCGACCTGGTCATCACCGACGTGCGCATGCCGGACATGGACGGCTTCAAGCTCCTCGAGCTCATCCGCCTCGAGATGGATCTGCCCGTCATCAGTACTCTCACTGCTCTCAATCCAAAGTCCAATTTTTGAGTTTTCTATCCATGAACACTGACAATTGTTTTCAAGAACGTACTTTTACTCCTCAATCTTGTTGATACCTTGAGAGGATATTAATTTCTTTGGGCAGCGTGTGAGATCCTATATATTTAGGACGATTTTATGAAACCACATACATATGCACAAAACCCACACTCTATTTCTAACCTGGAAGAGTTTTAAAGAACGGGATCCCCACTGAGTCCGAACCAACGGGGTCCCATCTAACCGTTCACTCGTCCGATCGGATGGGGAGTGGGGTAGGAGAGCGGAGGTGAAGCGGTACATGAGTTAGTAGAGGACGTAGTGTCGGTTTCTAGCCCAAACCAATGGGATCCTATCTAACCATCCGTCTGATGGATGGCGACTGGGTACGAGAGCGGAGGTGGAGCGACACATGAGCTAGTAGGGGACGCATTGTCGGTTTCTAGCCCAAAACAATGAGATCCTATCTAACCATCCATCCATCAGATCTGATGGATGGTGGGGATGGGGAACAAACATGGATAGCACGTGATTATGATATCCCAATTGTTGTTTTTAATAATTGGGCTGATAGTGTTTAGTAGGCTAGAGACATGGTCACTCCAATGGCTAATTTGGGCTAGTGAGAGTCTCTGTCACTCCAATGTAAAATAGATTCCACATCCACGCGTTCGATGGGCGTATTTATGGACTATCTAGAATTGAATTTTATAAATGAGTAGTTTGGCTTAGTGAGACTCTCTATCACTCCTATGTAATGTAGACCCCACTATCCACATGTTCGATGGCTTTATTTATGGACAACTATAATTTAATTTTATATCATCTCAATTAATTGTACAATCCTACCAATAAGAATGAAAACTTTAATCTATTCATAGTTCATGAAATGACCAAGTTATATTTTTTTCAAAGCTAATGTTAAAATTCGCGTTCTAACAATCACACAAGGTATACGATTGCGCCACACCTGTTTGCTAGGGTTGCATGAATACTACAATTAAGAAATACCTATGTTGTATTGATATTTTTTTTGTGAATTGTATTGATATTATTAAGATTACTACTCATCTTCATTCTCCTTAAAGTTGTTACTCCTTATGACAATTTACTCTCAAGAATAGCATGTAAAGTAGGAATGCCCCTTTTAAGTACATACATGAGTAGGTTAACCATGGGTAATACCTACAATACTGCATATTTGTTGACTTTGAATAAGCACACCAATTTGTAGTCAAATTACTTTCACTGAAAGTGCAGCCACAAATACTTATTTTCCTGAATCTCTACTATTATTGCACAAAATTCGTCCAAGATAATTCTTGCCCAATCTCTACCTCGCCCACAGCTGCATGCAATTAATTAGCTATATAGTTAATTACACATGTCAATTGTCTAGACATTAATTTATGGAAACTATCACCGAGTATTGGACGAGAGGACCACGTTAATTATGGAGAGTATCATTCTTTGGACGAGAGTATCACGTTAATTATGAAACGTATCATCGAGCACTGGACGGTAGGACCACATTAAGCATGGACATTATCATGTAGAATATGTATGTCCCCGTGGCAAGCACAAACAATTAGCTATCCGTAATAAAAAGCTATTGACAATGGTGGTTAACGTTTACAAACTAATATGAGTGTGATCACTTAAAATGCTTAGAGCGTTACGTGGGCCGATAGATGTTACCTAGTATGCTAGAGAAACTTGGCTGACTGCCAATAATAATACTTGATCTTCAGGTTCACCAATAGTTAGACATGATGATGTGATTTCCTTGTGTGGAACATGTTGTGATATGGCTTAGTCATTGTGTTACCGTTATTGTTTTAACCTTTGTTTTCGTATCTTCCTATTGAATGTGTGTAATTTTTCCCATTTAGTTTGCATTGAAGAAGAATTATAAAACTAAACATTGAAATGCTTTTCCGTCTATAGGCACTTTGACCAAAACATATGTCCACTTCATAGATTTTTGTGAATTTCTGAATTCTAAATCTAAGTCATTGGTCCTATGGCATGCAGTGATATCCGTTGATTGCGACAAGAAGGTTGTGATGAAGGGGATAGATCATGGCGCGTCCGACTTTATGGTGAAGCCAGTGCGTACCCATGAGCTCAAAAACATATGGCAACATGTTCAAAGGTGGAGAAATCCCAAAGCAATAAGCCACATCAGCGATCATGACAATGATGTCCAGAGAGTTCAACCAGCGACTACTGACAAGAGTAAGTACTCGGGGAATAAGAGAAATGTTGGAGATGATTCTAGCGAGAACAATGAGGGCACGCATATATCCGCCATCCACAGAAAGCCCCGGATGACATGGACAATTGCGCTGCATAACAAGTTTCTAGAAGCTATCAACCAGATCGGCCTTGATAGTAAGAATTCACATCTTGTGCCTCATTCATCGACAATGCTGGTGGCTGCTCGATATTTTCATTATAATTTTTATTACATAATTGTAGGGGCTGTTCCAAAAAAGGTATTGGAGCTGATGAATGTGGATCACCTCAGTAGAGAGAATATTGCGAGTCATCTACAGGTTTATTTGCAACCTTTATGCTTAATTTCTATGTTTTTGTTACTATTATTCATAGTCTAACATTTTTTCATATATAAGTGAAAGCTTTTATTTTCTGGGGAACATATCAGTCAAAGCTCTAGTAATGGAACTACCATGATGTGTAATTCTAATTAAGTGTGTCCCTTAAAATGCGAGGCTTATCTCATATAATGCATGCCTCAGTCAAAGCTCTAGTAATGGAACTACCATGATGTGTAATTCTAATTAAGTGTGTCCCTTAAAATGCGAGGCTTATCTCATATAATGCATGCCCCACATTTTTAGGAGTTTTTTTCCCATGCAACATCTTCAGTTCTTATTGTACTCACATGTTTATGTTATTTTTTTCGATGATCATCCATCTTATACCATGTTATTTTGTCTATCTTTTTATTTCAGAAGTATAGATTGCACTTAAAAAGAGTTAAGTCAAATCCCTCTAGTGATGCATATGAAATATGGAACTCATCGTACAACATGAACAACAAGGGCAATTTCATGCATAATCACGAACATGGAAGATGGAGTGTGTCCTCTGGCGACACTGCCTCTTGGAGTACAAACAAGTATGGTTCAACGGGTCACTTGGCTCCGCCGATGAACATCCAAAGCAACTTCTACACAGGGTCATACCTCCATGATCGTAGAATGCCAAAGTATGTTGGAAAACTACCGTCAGATGCGAGAAGATTCACAGGTTTTGCTGACCCTCTCGTCAGCCTATACGACAACATACCCAATGAGATAATGTCAGATGAATTTCCATCATTCAATTATAGTAATTCCTATGCTAACATCATGCATGGCAAGATAATGGAGATAAGCAAAGGCAAAACCCCTTCCAATCTTCAAAGTTCATTTGCAAACACAACAGTTGGTGGCGGGAGGTCTCTTGTTGCATCACAGGTGAACTTCCCACATAGCAACCAACTAGAGAGATATGCAATGTCATCTGGCCGGCTGCCTCTGCAAAATGAAAAGGCACCATTCATAAGCAACACCACATCAGTGGGAGGCTTCACTGAGCAAATGGCACCATTCAACATGGCAAGCAACATAAGCTCAGTAGGAACGATGTTGAATGGTAGCTCTACACTTGATGCAAGTAGAACTTCAACTAATGATACTCATCGGGTCAACAGTGAAAGAACTACTTCGATGCTTCACACCCTTCAGACAGATGATTTCGTCTCATTGACTCAGCTACATGATGGTGGGGATGGAGCTAGCATTGTTCCTATGCAAGAAGGCACACTTAATCAGCAACCTCTTAATGATCATTTGAATGAAATCAGTGCCTTCTCAATGGATGATATATTTTCCAACATGCATGTGGAAGTAAGAACTTTTCTCATTTGTACGAATCTATGTGCTCCATACTTAAATAACACTTTTCTCTCAATGTAGGATTTCATTGGAGATGATGCTATCGTGGAAGAAGCATGATAGTTCTATAAGTTAAGCCGCCCAATGCGTGAGATGGTTGATCAAGAGTATCATGCTCGAGGGGCCTCTTTAAGGCAATAGAGTGCTTTGACAAGTTTGCAAACATAGTGATATGTGTATCCATTTTCATATACCAGTGGTTCTTTGAGATACACTTTGTCTTGCATAACATTGAGAATTGACATGTTCCGCACAACAAGCATAAACACCACCCTTTGGAGACTGTTGTGCCTAATACAAGTCTTATGGTGGAAGCTTTTATAATAGGTTAGCATCCTGATAATCAAAACATTAGTGTTTCTTGAAGCCTATGGTAACAAGGCACACTTTATACGTGGGATAAACTTGTTTCTGGCCCACATGTTTTTACCTCGAGGTGGAGTACTAAGTGCCATGTGTTACTCCTCATTAGAGCCGTATATTCTTCATCCATAGCTTTTCTTCATTTTTTCACTAGAAGCCACAACTAAAGACAACTAAAGATGAACCTCATTTAGTATCATCCATAGAGCGAAGAATTGCATGATGTGCTCAACGGAGACATTGGTGGTGGTGGTGGTAGTGGCAGTGGGAGGGGTGTGATCTTGAGAATCCAAGCGTTGTGCTTTAGGGACTCCCTCACCTTCCAATTCTTTCTCTTGGAAGCTTCATAGATGAGTGGGGCAATATCTTTAGGCTTTCGCCCAAGAAGCCAAGGAGAGTCCCAAAAGTGGGTCCTCACACCATTACAAACGGTGATGGTGGTGGAAGCATAGAAAAAGTTTAGGTCCTCCCCATTGCATGGGTTTCCTATTCCCACCCACATCTTGGTGGGATCCTTCCATTCATACCACGACCATCGCAACCGGAGAGCCCTCGTAAACTTGTCTGTGTTGAGGACCCCAAGACCTCCATACTCAAGTGGCTGGCAAACATACTCCCAATTCCCCTTGCATTTGGCCCCCGTTGTCTTGTCCGAACCGGACCAAAGGAAATCTCTCTCGAGCTTGTTGGCGTTGTGAAGTATGTGGTGGGATGACCAACGGGGTGGTGGGGTAGACCACTTGGGATATGATCACGGACATGACAAGAGCCGTACATCCAATGGTGGTGATGTTTTGGCCATCATACTTTGATAACTTGCTTGCAACTTTGTCCACGAGAAATTGGAGATCCATCAACTTTAGCTTCCAAACCAAGAATTTTTTTTGGTAAGCTGGAATTGGAATCCGTCATGGAAAAGTTGGGCCGAACAATTTCACCATATATCTTCGTCCCTTCTCGCGCGGCAGTCATTGCAAAATTCTTTTCGCCAACTTGTCGTCGATTGTTCCCACCACCCACCGTGCTACTTTTGCCTTCTGACTCGCCCCGTCGCTCGTTCCCCTTCCCGATGGCACCCATCACCGCCCCCGTCCCCGCCGCGCTTAGTTTCTATGCCACCTAGAGGCCACGATGGCCGTGTCTAAGAGCTTACTAACGAGGATGGCTCGACCTGTGCCCTGGAGACTGCGCACAGGACGCACATCTTCAAGATTGATGGGTACAACCTGAACAGGGGCTTCTGCATCGGCAAGTCCATTGAGTCCGCTACCTTCGTCGGCAGCTACGACTGGTGCGTCCGCTTCTACCTGGACGATCATACGGAGGATAACAAACACTGTGTGGCCGTCGGCATCGTGCTCAAGACCAAAGTCACGGAGGTGAGGGTACTCTACGATATGTGGCGGGTCGACCGACAAGGCCACAGGGTCTCAACCACCATGGTTTTCTTGTTCATCGGAAAAAGACCAATCACTTTGCAACTTATCTTCTTAAATGCTAACCCATGAGGTCTGCGGTTTTCTTAGTCACATTGCAAAGTTGGTACATAACTCTGATTGAATTAGAAGAGTCGGATATGAATCAAATCAAGATCACAAGAAGAGGGGGGATGACTTTACTGAATATGTGGAGCTGCACCGCCGCCGCCCACATCCGAGTTCCCACCTCGCTGCTCCTATAGAATGGCCGCTTCATTTTGCACCACTCTATGCGTTCCTTTCCGCCGAAAGAAAGGGGATAACCGAAGCAGACCTAACGGATAATGCCGTTAGCTGACAGAACTGAAAACTGACGAAACTGAAAACGACACCTAACACTGAACACAAAACTGTTAATTGAATTTGACACCTACGACTTCAGACACTAGACTGATAGATGAACAAGACCAAAGTCAAAAGAATGGCTAAATAAGGATACAACCAAAGAAGTAAAACAATACCGATGGAAAAGTCAAATCTCACAAACTTTGATCAAGTTTGTGGAGAAAAATATTTACATCTAGAATGTCAAACATATATCATTAGAATTATCATAAGACGTAGTTTCATAATTCATATATTTGGTATTGTGGACATAAATAGTTTTCTTCATAAACTTGGTCAAAGTTTGAGTTTTCAAAAAATCTATATGCACTACATTAAGGAATGGAGGGAGTACTAGTGACAGGAGATAATCCCATTTCTTTTAAGAAAAAATAGAAAGATGATGAATGCTAGTGGCAGAAATGTGGTTACTTCTTTAAAACTTCTTACTGAAGACCCACACCAAACAACTCCGAACAATAATGAATAAATGCAAAACACTGAAAACCGGTCAAAAAAAACTTCCATCAAACACAATGATCTGAGGAGTTGGATCTTACCGACATAACTGAATTTGACAGTATACTGAATACTGAATTTCAAATAATTGAAAAGTTACTCCCAGCATTGAAAAAATGGTCGACCCAAAAAAATATCCAAAATACTGATAAAAACTAAACGCAAAGCCTGCATGTTAAAGCTGAACACTAACCAAATAGACTAACATTTGAAAGGTTTTCATGCCCCATATTAAATTGTTCTTGACAGTGCCATACATAACCAAACAAAAGATACCTATAAAAGAGAGAAGACACATAGTTCGTCCATCCCGCGGAGCGACATAGATAGATGACATCAGTAAGACATAGATAACAACGACAAAAACTAGAGCATTAACACTGATGGTAATCTTAAATCAGGCTGACAACCATCATTTCTAGATTGTCCAATGCACTATTCCTAACGGTGATTAGCACCACTCGGCCAACCTATTTTAGTTCGTTCTCCTCTGTGAATTCCTCCCAGGCATCCTTGTTGAATGCCATACGACCATCTGGAAAAAAGGAAGTGAGGAAATAAATATGAAGGCTAAAGAAGTGAAATGAGAAAATATAGATAGACTAAAAACTGAATGAATGCTAAACTAGCAAACTAACCTACCACTGAAGAAATGAGTACCAGGAGAAAGCTACAGATTACTCACAAAAAAGAGAGGAGAAAGCTACAAATGACTGAAACATGAATAAGACTGAAAATGTCACTGAACCTAATCATGAAATACATAAATCAATAACTGGAGAAAACTTAAGGACATATATATTGAAGAAACCTGGTAGACTGAGGAATGACACTAAAAAAATGCCTACCACCAAAACAAACTGAGAAATAAATATCTAAACTGAAGGAAACTCTGAAAAACTGAAAGAA